CACTTGCTTCTCACCTCTGAGAGGAGATGCACGCCCCACATTCTGAGGACAGATCTGACACTGAGACCATCTTACCCAGCCTAGAGCTCGGAACCTCGGTTGCTGCGTGGATTAATGTCGGAGGGCAGGGTGTGTGCAGTCTTTGTAGTTCCCCCCCCTTCCCCCCCCCCCCCCCCGCGGATGACGGGTAACAGAAAGTAGTGAAGTTTGCAAATAAGAAGAAGAGTTGTCCTAACATAGTCATCACAGCCACACGTCCATACCTTGAAGGCTCGGCCGGCATCCTCCGGAAGCTTCAAAAAAAAAAGCTGTTTCCCAACAAACCTCTCCCAGCTGAACCCTGACACGCCAAGGCTCAGGCGGAGGACACAGAGCCGAGGGAAGCGTTAGCAAATGCCAGAGAATCTCCCCAGCAATCCCAAGTGATCAATTCCTTTGGATTTTTTTTCACACATCTCTGGGGTACAGACCGGTCCCAGCAGCATGGGGGAAGGGGGCGAGGGGAACGGTGGCCAGGGTAGAATTGGAGAGCAAGCTGAGAAGGCAAGGGACAAGTTCTAGGCAAGAGGATTATGTTCCATTTGCTACTATTACCAGACTTCCAGGAGGAAAGACCTCGATCTGAGCATAAAATTCATACCCTGAAGTGGATAAGACTCGAAAAGCCGCATTTGAGGAGGTTAACCTTGACTGGTTGGAGTTAAAGGGGGGGTTGGGGGGAGGCAAATATTTCTGTTTGTACCCTCCGGCTCTTCCCAGCACCGGCTGTCAATCGCGACGCTTGTTATCCTCACAAGGCTTCAGTTTGTTTGCCTGATCTCAGCAAGGTTTTCTTCCACAAGTAGAACTATAATTGCTATAATTCTACTGTATCATTTGGATCATTGCAGTATTGTTGTTTTCTCTCCCTCTTTCTCTCCTCCTAACACTGCAATAACGCGCTCCAGTGTTAAATTAGCAGGTTGCGGAAGACCATAAATGAATGAAAGTTTGTTAAAAAAAAAAGAAGAAGAAGAAGAAAAGAAATAAATAAAACAGCAAAATGACTTGGCAAAGGGGCTATCACATCACAGAGAATCCTTGCGTGTAATCAGGACTTATTGTCTTCCCTTCCAATGGCTTCCAAATTGGTCGCTAGACTCCAATGAAGTTTATTTCTATTGTTTAAATATATGTTTTGAAGGGGTTGAACATAATTTAAGGGGACCTGAGCCATCCGGTGCGACTGGAAGCCCATTATAGCTTTATTTATCTATGTGTATATTGCACAATAAATTAAAACATCTCAAATGAAAAGTGTGTGAGGTTAACTCTCCTCTAAACATTTCCCCCTGGATAATGACATCTAACTGCCACCCCTTTATCCCACATTCCTTGCAAATATAATTTTGAAACTACCATGTAGAATCAACGGTCTTGCCACAGTAAAGAAAGGGGTTTCTGCCATTCACCTCCTGTAGGTAATTATTATTTCCGGTTCTGAGAAGAAGCCTCATTTTTTCCCACTGTAAACAACAGTTTTAAATGCTTCTGACCCTCACTTTCAGCCATTATTGTCATATTTTTATTTTACTGATAGATTTTTAAAGCAGAGAAACAGAAAAACACTGTTTTCTAAGAGACCAGGGAAAACAAAACCAACAATTGCAGACTTCCAAGATTAGGAGAGTCCAGGCATTATGTGTAACAATGTACAAACAAGAAGAATATTCGCACCTGAAAAAAATGACTTTTCACTAGTGAGTAAAAGAGAGTGAAAAAAGAGAAGTGACATTTTGCTGGCAGAATAAATATTAAATTGTGCTAAAGTGTAAATTCTTTTATACAGAGTCCTATAATCCAGTTCTTAAAAGTCCACCTACTCAGTACACTAAATTTGTCCTAGGTATTAGAGGCATCATTCTGTTTCCTAAAATGATATGGGATCTCTCTGTCTCTCTCTGTGTCTGTCTGGCTGTCTGTCTGTCTGTCTGTCTGTCTGTCTGTCTCTCTCTCTCTCTCTCTCTCTCTCTCTCTCACACACACACACACACACAGAGAGAGAATCATCTTAAACCCAATTCTGACTAGACTGTGGAGAGACCAGTAGACTCTAGCTCCCCATCCAGTACCTGAGAAAAGTTTTCTGTCATTAAAATTTTAATCTGAGGAGAATTGGAAGTGAGTTGTAGATTGTGAAGTTGGATGTTGGATTCTGACAAATCTCTGAGCTGCTGGGTGGAGAGAGCGAGGTCAGGTTTTTCTCAAGCTGAGAGGATCCGCTTTCTTCTAAGAACAACCTCGTGTGGGAAAGATTGATTGAAAATACCAAGAAGAAGTAACAGAACAGAATAAATAAACCCAGTGTTTTCACACAGGCCTCCCAAAGACACACTTTATAATCCATTAATAGAATTAGATTTAATTCCAGGGATTATTAAGTCAGAATCCGAAATTCTAAGTTAACCTCCCCCCTTTTACAGTGGATGATTAAAATTAGAATACACCCCAGCAGAAAGTCCGACTTCTTTTAAAAGAACAGCTGCAGCCGGGGGGAGGAGGGGGATGGAGGCGACGAAGTCTTTCACCAAGAGACTTGAAACCCCGTTGGACTCTCGGAAATGATTTGTGCGTTTGGGTCTCTTTTTGTTTCACACGATCTCTCTTGGGCTCATTTTCAAACTCCCTGCGCGTCGAGGAACCGACTCTGAAGTCTTAGAGCCACTCGGCAGCCGGGTCTTGTGGATTTCCGACGCGGGGCTCTCTGGGGAGGGAAAAGTGCCTGTCTCGCCCAGCCACCAGCCGCCCGGACGCCAGGGAGGGTCGGGGGTCCGAAGCTGAGTGGATAACCACGGGTCTTTAAGACGGCTGTTCAGAGACCAGCACGCCCGGAACCGGGGCTTCTGAGCAGCAGCGGTGGGGGTGGGAGTGGGAAGTTTTTCTGCCAACACGTTGTAAGTTTAAATCTGAATAGAACAGTTTTTTTAAAAGAGGGGGGGAGGGATGATAAAAGAGGAACCCAGGAGAGCCAAGAGACCACCCCTAAGTACTTTGGAACAGCCAAGAAGGCTTACTGAAAACCCCAAAGTCACGTAGGCTCCGGAGCTCTCCGCTGCTCCCCGCTCTCCAAGTGTAGGAGAAAAGCGGGAGCATCTAACACCCAGACAGACAGGGAGACACGGAAGGGTGCAAGAAAGTCCCTTTTCGTCCAGCCTTCAATAGTAGTAGTGGAGCATTAGGATTAACCGTATTAATGGGCTTGTTCCCAACCCTTCACCCCCCTCCCCTCAAGTTGTCTTGAGTGCTCCTGCCAAACCAGCCTGATCTGTCTGCCACCCACCCACTAGCACCCAAGAGTTATGCAGATGTTTATGGCTAGAAAAAAAAATCCCAGCTATGCATCCTTGCATTTTTAAATACTGACTGTAAGTGATTCAAGTATAATCCTTTGTAAAACGCTTTTCTCTCTGACACATTTGAAGGGGCTGAGAGAGGAAAACCTGGCGTGGATTCCTCTTTCCTGACCCCTCTCCCACCCACCACCCTCATCCCCACCCAGCCAGCATTCAAGGTCCTAGCTGGCTCTGGGCCCTGAATTCAGGCAAGGAGGGGCTCCGTGCTGGCCCCTTGTCTAGGTTCAACCCAACTTCAGGGAAAGTGGGGTCTTAGTTCTCAGCTTGGGATATGCAGGGCGCTGCGTGGAAAGAAAACTCGCTCTTGCCAAGGCTTACCTCTCTCACCTTTGCAAATGGGAGCCATCACGAGAATGCAAACTATTAGGCGTCTAGATTTGGTGGAAGCTAAATCTTGGTTCCTTTCACTCAACGAGATCAGAGCTGCCCCCCCCCCGTGCCAGGCCACCCTGCCCCGCGGGTTCGACTCCCTACGCGCTATTCAAAGGTCAACTGCCTCCTGGTTCCTGTGGCTGGGGACGTATGTAGAGGAGTGAGGAGTGTGTGGGAGAAAAAGGATTCCCCCTAAATCTGGGCTCAGTGGCCCCCCTCCTCGCCATCTTACACGACCCGCGTCCCTTCCCTCCGGGTGAGCGCCCCAGGGAAGGCCATGAGCCGTAGACAGAGCTTTGTCTCCAGTGGATCTTTTCTCATCCCGGCGTTAAAAAAAAAAAAAAAGACAATGAGTTGCGGGAGACATTGTTAAGCAGGAGTTCAAAGCAACAACGGGCCAGTTGTGGGTGAAGATCCACAGCGCGAGGCACTGGGCCACGAGAGAAAGGCAGCGCTCGCGTGTCTGCTGCGGGAGGCCCACCGCCCAGCCGACCTAGGGACGACAGCGAATGATCACCGCTGAGGTCCACGTCCTGTCCTGGGATCCCCGCGTCCGCTTTGGAAAACACAAACGCCAACTCTGCTCGGAACTTGAGCCTCAAACCTCCGCCTGTGAGGAGCGAGGTTCTCAGGGCTTTGGGGAAAGGGCGCCTGACTCCTAGGTGGCACTCACAGGCCTGGGATCCGCACATGCCAGGGCTACTTCTGAGAGTTAAAGGAAGAACTATAGGAAAAGGATGGCATATTTGAAAAGTTGCTAGGGGTTTTTTTTTGGGGGGGGGGAGAATAGAGAGAAAGAAAGAAAAGGAACATTGGTTCTGGTGCTTGCTCGCTGCTACCTCCCCCACCCCCCTGCACATTCTGCCGGCTCCTCTGAAATCCAGTCCTGGCTTTGCGCCGCGCCCACAGACGGACTCAGCCCGGCCTCTGGCGAGAGCCAATCAAAAAGCGCTTCTCAGCACGTGGAGGAGAGAGACTCAAGAGCTCCGCGCCCGCGGCTCACTACACTTGTTACCGCTTGTCCTGGGAGCGCAGAGGGCGAGCTCGGGCTGCGAGCAGGGCGGGAGCCGGGAGCCGGCAGCCGGCAACTCGGAGAGACAGAGAGGCATACAGATCGCACTAATATCTGTTATAACCAGCCATCTAACCCCACCCCAAACACACACCCATCCATCCCACCCGCCTGGAGAGGCAGGCAGCGGTCCGCTCTCTGAGCCCAGGGAAAAAGCCCCAACCATGAGCAATCAGTACCAGGAGGAGGGCTGCTCCGAGAGGCCCGAATGCAAAAGTAAATCTCCAACTTTGCTTTCCTCTTACTGCATCGACAGCATTCTGGGCCGGAGAAGCCCGTGCAAAATGCGGCTGCTGGGAGCAGCGCAGAGCTTGCCCGCCCCGCTGGCCAGCCGCGCTGACCAGGAAAAGGCCATGCAAGGTAAGGTGGCTGCCCGTTAAGCACCTGCAAAGGGTGCTGGGCACTGGTTTAAATGTTTGATGTTCGGGGGGCCAGGGGCCTTGGGATTGTCAACTTGGAGACCCCCCCTCAAAAAAAAAAGGCGAGATAACTCTGAGGCCTGCCGCCTCAAAGAGCGACGAGAGAGATAGGGGGTGTCTCTCCTTCCCTGTGTACTTCCCGAACGAGCGGAGGGCGAGCTTGGCTTTGGGGGACCCTTAGATTCTCAGTGTCGGTCATCAGGTAGTTTAAATACCCAGCTGGGTGGCTTTAGGTAGGCTTTCGCTGAGTAGGACTGGTAGTTTAGAAACAGCAGATCCCCGCTTAGACCTTTATAGCCGCAACTTAATGAAGGCAAGAACCCCAAAAGCTGATGAATGGGGGGGGGCTCTCCAGCCGGGGTGAGTGAGCTTTGGTTTTTCCCTTTGGAAGATTTCTTTATACGCGGTATTTTTTTAAAATATGCATTACTTAATGACCTTTTTAAGCCCAAGCTTTACAAAAAAACCCCCCACATTTCCCTTGTGATTTCCCCTTAAAATTGTATTTGAAAAATAGGAAATGTGTGGCTTCTGGGTGCTATCCCCCCCCCCCCGCTACATTCTTTTTTCCTAAAAGAATCAAGCCGTTGAGATGTTGGAAGCGGCTTCTTTTCTGAGATTTGAAAAATTCCAGAACAATGATCGTTTTGCCCCAAAGCTGTAAAACTCAAGTTTTGCTTTGAGCTGGGTGCAGAGGTGTCCCGAGGAAAAACACCTATTGCTTTCTTTAAAAAAAAATACAATGAAATAAAAATCTAAAAAGCAGCGGTCTAGCCGCAACCGTGGAATTCGACAGCTCCATGCTGGAGAGGGAACCCTTTAAAAGTAAATTGCTTCTTTCCTTTTCTATCGCTTTCTGTCTCCCTTTTTCTCTCTCCTTCTCTGTCTCTGGCTCAGACTCTGTCTCTCTCTTTAGCCTGCAGGCGCTTCCTAGAAGGGAAGGAGCGACCTGTGTCTGTTGCACCTCTGTCTTCCTGCTTTCCATTCCAGGCCTTCCCTAATACCTTTTGGCCAGGATGATTTCTCTTTGCATTTTTCTGTGCAAGAAGCCCCCAGCTCCTTCCCGCTTTGGGCTGCTGGGACGGGGCTGGGCGCCGGGACCACAGAGCCCGTTCGCCCCGCAGGGGTCGCCGCGGGACAGCGCCCCTGCGGCCAGCCGGGCCCCGGGCCGCGCTGGAGAGGGCAGAGGCCTCCCACAAAGTTTTTAGGGTAGTGGTGATTTGGTTTTTAAGTTGTTGAACGTTTTCAGTTTCAACTCTGCCCTGAAATGGGAAGGGATTGAAAAAAAAATGGGTGAAGGAAGAAGAGGGGGAAAAAAAAGAATGAAAGAAGGAAGGAGAGAGAGGAAGGGAAAACATACAGAAAGAGAAAAGGCTGGAAAGGGAAGACTGGGGAGGAGGGGAGAAGAGGGTGCAAAGAGGGGCAAGAGAAAGAAAAGAAGCAAAGAAAGCAGTGGGAAAGTGTGAACGGACCAGGAAGAGAAAGTAAAGAGGAAATAAAGAGCAGAGTGAAAAGGGCAAGGGACGCAGGAGGAAAAGAGGGGAAGGGGAACAAGAAGAAGAAGCAAAAACAAAAGCACAAAACAAGCAATCGTGGAAAAGTCGGATGTGGCGTTGAGGCCCAGGGAGGGGAGCGCAGCAGGCTGGGCCCTGGGCAGCGGTTCTGGCGGGCTGGCCCGCCGGGAGCCCGGCCGGCGCACTGATCGCTCCTTCTCCCTTGCTCGCAGGCTCCCCCAAAGGCAGCAGCGCCCCGTTTGAGGCCGAGCTGCACCTGCCGCCCAAGCTGCGGCGCCTGTACGGCCCCGGCGGGGGTCG